AAAGGAGCAGGAGCTCAGGTGCCACCATGGCGCGGGAAATCCCCCGATAGTCTAGGCCCTATAGCAGCATAACTAAGGGATGGTTCAGGACTCACCTGATCCAGCCCATAGTGTACTATGTTTTGGCAAAATGTAGCAATTTTGTATTTATTCTTAATTAAACTAAATTATTTGTATAGCGCCTAATTAAGACAAAAGATTATCTCAGGGCACTTTACATACAGAGCAGGTCTAGACTTTACCGCCTTTTAAAATTATTTATAGAGACTCAACAGTTCCCATTTTTAATGTATCTTTGGTTTTCAGGAATCTGGTTTCAGTGTTGCTTTTGGTTATTTCAAATGTTTTTTGTTGTTTCACTGGTGGTTTTTGCATCATCTTAACTGCAGTGTCACTTCAGCTTCCTACAGCAAACCACTAAAGTAGAAGTTAGGCTGCAGTTTGTCATGTTCCTGAAACTTTTTTTAATCTATTTTCTTAGGGTGAGAAAGACAGAGACAGAGATAGACAGCAATAACAACTATAATGGTAGAAATATGACTAACAATAATAATGATGATGATCACAGCCATAATAATGAAATTAAACAGGACACCAACCTCATGTCATGTGAAGTTTCATCTAAATATAAGTATAACTTGACTGGTCCCAAACACCTCATTCACAAGTCGAATAAAGCTAATAAATATATACATAAACAACAAAATATCTACATGAACTAGAATTTTTGCATTTCCTAAAAAAAATTTGTGTTATTGAAAGAGTCCCAGCAAAATCCGAAATGGTGTAATATTTTTAAAGTGCAAATGGGTGTGGCCTACAGCAGTAAAAATGGCGTCATCCAAAGAACCCACTGCTCAAAAATGTTTATTAGCAAAAACGTATAATGCTTAATAACTGACCACATGGTGGCGCTATTGTTCTGAAGAAAATCACACATCATTCTGCTGGTGTCGGGAGGATTGTCAAACATTTGGTGGAACAGAAAATATTATTATTATTATGCGTACATCAATAATTACAGTAGGACATTTATAGTCAGTAATTACATGAATCAAATAGACAGTAAAGACCTCTGACCTGTATCTACAGCACTGACCTAGCCATGTTTACAGCTCTCTGTCCTATCCTCATTATTGTTACTATTATATTAATCCAATAAAAAGTACAGACCTCTGACCTGTATCCATAGCACTGACTTATAGGACAATCATATCATTATTATTTCAATCAAATAAACAGTACAGATCTCTGATCTTTATATAGCACTGACCTCTGTTCTGTGTCTGTCATGTCCTCTCTAATTATATATAATTGTGGACCTATTGTTGGTAGAATTGTATGAAATGTTACACACACATGAAATGTGGCTTCATGTACAACATTCCCAATGTGCATCGAGCCATGCCTTCAAAAGTTTGGTAATACAAACAAATGATAAACGATACCCTAACACAAACCTTGTCATGTTTGGCTTCATCTAAATATGCTATACATTGATGTTTAATTAAATGAAATATGTAACAAAATAAGCAACAACAAAAAAAAGGTTATGAAGGCGCAAATTGGTGTGACCTATATCTGTAGAATTGTCATCATCCAAGGAACTCACTGTACAAAAATGTTTCTTGTACTCCTAACTGTTCATGAGTTAAAGAATAATAAGCAAATACAGACTGATGATAGACTTTGTGAGTTTCCTGAATGATAGAACAGTTTTTAAACAGTTATCACGTTATTGACAGGAGAGAAATCACATGGCAGAGAATTGGCAGAAAACTGGATGTATCAGGTAACATCAGTTTTAAGCTAGGCTATAAAGTTATGACTAGGCTAATAATTGGCAAACTTAAGCTAATAACAGTAAAAGTCTTGTTTTGATTCAAAATTGATTAAAAATGCAGGACAAGAGTTGTGATGTTCCTCTCACACCTACATCATACAATGAAAAACTGTCCACCCACACACTTTAACATTTTATTCCCTTTTTTTCATCAAATTCTTAAGTTTCCATTTATTCTTTTGACTTATATAAGATAGAGAGATTACAGCAGTTCACATTCAAACAACAGAAAAGAGTAAAGCAACAAAGTCAAACAAGTGACAACAACAAAAAATAAGGTGATGATTTAAGAATATAATAAATAAATAATAATAATAATAAAAAGACAATAAGTAAACATCTGTAAGAAAAATAAAATAAAAATAGAGATCTGACACAATCCAAAGCAGCCCAGTGTGATTTTAACATCCCCCAGGTTGACTGCGACCACCCTGATGGATCCAGCTGGAGGAGGATTTGTACAGTCTTACTGCAGCAGGAAGAAAATCTCCTGTAGCGCTCCTTAGTGCAACATAGCTGTAACAGCCTGTTGCTAAAGGAGCTTCTCTGCTCTGCCACAGTGTGATGTAGGGGATAGAAGGGTTGTCCATAATGGCCAAGAGTTTGGACCTCATCCTCCAGTTGACCACCTCTTCCACAGTGTCCAGGGTGACGACAACAGAACCAGCTTTCCTGATAAGCTTATTCAGCCTCCAGGTATCACCCTCTTTGATGCTGCTCCCCCAGCATACCATGAGAGCACTGCACTGGTCACCACTGACTGATACAGCATGTTTAATTTATTAATTAAATAATTGATCAATATTAGTAATTTTTCATTGATGTATTATTTTCCAAATGTTGTTTAAAAGACAGCCTAAAGAAAAAAGAGCCATGTAGAACCTGACTTACACAACAAAACCACTTCTGTACTTTTACCATCAGAACAAGTGTGACAAGGAAGATGCTTAACAAGATTACTAGCAACTTTTGTGAAAGTTGAATTTAAATATTTTAACACTTCTCTTTTCAGAAAAACCGTACAGCAAGTAAAACTTGTAAAACCAAATACTCTACAAGTTAAAGTCCTGCATTCAGAATTTCACATAATTAAAGTAAAAAATATTAGCAAAACTATAGCGTAAAAGTACCAAAAGTACTCATTATGCAGAGTGTCCATTTCAGTATTGGATTATAATTACTGATGCATTAATGTGTTCATCACTTTGAAGTTACCATATGTTAGATTCTGAAGAATTGTATATATTCTGTCTCAGTGTGAGTCAGTGTGTGTGAATCAGTGTGTGTGAGCAGAGAGTGAACGGG